GGGGAGGAGACCCCCCGGCCAGGCTGGGGCGGGTGGCAGGTGACTTCCCTCCCCTTTTCCCCCCCCCCTCCCTGCAGAATCCTTCCCTGACGCCGAGCAAGAAGCTGAAGCTGATGCGGGAGAACCCGGATCTCCTGGAGCTGTGCCACACCGTGCCCATGGAGGTGGTCTCTGCGGGTAAGGGCAGGGGGACGGGGGACAGGGGCAGCTGGGGGTGGTGGAGAGGCCTGGGCTTTGCCTTCCCGGCAGCAGGAGGCTTGGGAGGGTGCCCTGACATCGTGCTCGCTGCTTCCTCTCCACTTCTGTCCTCTCCTTCTCTCCCTGCCCAGACAAAAAGCTCTTGGACCCAGAAAACTCGGATAATTACGCCGCTTTCAAGAACTGGCTGCAGTGTTACTTGGTGCCTGGCATGAGCTCCCTGCGCGACCGCAACGGCAGGACCATATGGTTCCAGGTAGGAGTCTGGGGTCGCTGCCTGGGGGCTGGGTACCCCCAAACCACCCCCTCCAAGGGGACACCACCCCATTTTCTGCTTCCCCAGACCTCCCCCCTCCCTCAGCATTATGCTGGGGGCCTCCCTCTCCACCAGACTGCTGTGCCCACTGGAGGTGGAGGTGACAAGGACCCTCCGTGTGGCTGAGGGACGGTGGGCAGTCTGGAGCAGAGGGGCTGGTGGCAGGAACAGGGGCTCTGCCAGCCCCATCCCGTGCCTGGTGGGGCCTTGCAGAAGGAGCAGGGACTGAGGGGAGAGTCCCTGAGGCACAGGGCAGGCAGAGCAAGCCCAAATCCTCCGACTTCCCAGGGAAACGTGGCCGTTTCCCTATGGCTGCCTTGGCTGTGGGGTGGAGAAGGGGCACGGGTTCTGCTGCTGCTCCTTGCAGAACGATTGTGCCCCAGTCACCCCTCTGTCGCCTTCCTTGCAGGGAGAGGCTGGCCCCATGGCTCCCAAAGGTGAGTGTCCTCTCTCCTCCCCGGGGGTCTCGCTTTTGCTCCGGGAGGGCTGGAGCCTGGGACACCCTGCCCCTTCTGCAGAGCCCGGGGGCAAAGGCAGGAGCAAAGCCCCCCTCCCTGGGGCACTGACAGGCCTGTGACAGCCCGAGAGCTGCAGGGTGTGCTCTCCCTGGGGCTGCGAGGCTCAACCCAGCAGCGTTTTGGCAAGGGTTGGGGGAGAGGAGTCCCCCTCAAGCCCTTCTTCCTCCACCCCGGGGCCAACTCCTCAGTGCTCAGCTCAGGGGTCACCCAGGATGGGCATCCCTGAAAGGTCTCCCTGCCACAGCCTGTCCCCGACGGGCTGGTGCTCTCTGTCCCATCTCCTCCTCACCCCACCTAACCTGGGCACGTCTCCCCACACAGGGCAGGCGTCCCGCAAGAAGCGCTCTCGGCTGAAGGCAGATCCCCAGGCTCCGACCCCCAAGGTAAGGAGCTTTGGTGCGGTTGATGTGGCTCCTGCTGGGTCTAGAGGCTGTCCTGTTCCCCCTGCCCTGCTCCCAAACTCATGGTGGGGCTCCCAACCAGGAGTTCCTCATCAGCTGGTGGTCCCAAGCACGCTTCTGCGGCTAAACTCCGGCGCTGATGTCCACATAGGTCACCCCATGTGCCTCCAAACGGCAGCCTAAGGCTGCAGCGAAGCCCCCGGAGCTGGCTGTGGAGGAGGAGGAGGAGGCTGATGGGCCGAGGAAGGGCCGTGGTCGGGGGAGGAGGAAAGCAACCACTGCCCCAGCCGTGTCCGAGCCCGAGGTGCCCGTCAAAGCCAGGAGGAGCCGCAGGACGACTGGGCGCAGGGGCAGAGGTGAGTTTGGCCATCCCCATGGCTTTCAAACACACAGGTGGGGGCTCCCTTGGTGTCGGGGGGACCGGGGATGTGCCAAGGGGCAGGAGAGGGCCCAGTGGGGTGGAACCAGGCACCTCCTCACCCTCCGACTTCTCATTTTCCTCTCCCATCTTGCAGGCGCAGCCCCTGCCCTGTGAGGAGGAGCCTGGGGAGAAAGGGGGCTGCTGTGTCCCCGCTCGCTGCCGCTGCGTCCTGCCAGCCTGGGAGGGAGAAGCTGGGTTTGGTGACGGGGCTGACTGCTGTCCCCAGGCATTTTGAGGGGGGATAAGGGCCACGGACCCTTCCCTCTGCCTAAAAGTCGATTTCACCCCCCTCCCCGCTTCCTTTCTCTCTTCCCTTTCTGGCCCCTGCCTGCATCATGGAGAAGGCTGTGTTTTTAGCTGGCTAATAAAGTATTTTGGGTAGAAATTATGGCATGTGCCTTTTTGTGCTAAGGATAACCCCTCTGTGCCCAGCCTCTTCCCCACATGGGCTGGAGCAGGCTTCCCCTCCCTCTCCCCTCCCCAGAAAATTAATTCCCCATCAGCTTAGATGAGGCTCTGAGCAACGTGCTCCAGCTGAAGATGTCCCTGCTTGTTGCAAGGTGGGGTTGGGAATAGATGATGGCTTTTAAAAGGTCCCTTCCAACCCACACTAGTCCATGATTCAAAATGAAGGTAAGCTCTGCCTCCCCAGTCCAGGAGCACCAACGTGTGGACACTAACAGGGGTTACTGTCCCCTGGGAGAAGGCAGATCAGTGCAGTTATTTGGAAATGAGTTAAGAAAAGAGGCTGGAGCTTGTTTTCCTGCAAATTCTCCTCTTTACTTGTGCTCCCCTTCCCCAAGGGCAGTGCAAGAGGCAGGCGAAGGGAGAGGGGAATGACTGTAGTGTGTGTCTTTACGCTCGCTGCTGGAGTGTGGACAAGCTGAAGGCCACGATACGGAACCTGTTGCTCCTCAAACCTCCCAGGATGGAGCAGAGCACGTGTGGGGCTCTGCCCTACAGCCCCAACCCACACCTCGGCGAGCGGGGAACTCATGTCTCGAAGAAGGTGGTGGTTCTGGAGCACTGCTCTCCAACGAGAGGAAGGCTCCTCCCTGGAACCACTGCCTCCTTGCACAGCTCTTGGGATGGAGGGAGCCTGGGGCTTCCTTCTGAGCTCAGGGCGTTGCTCCAGGCTGTCGGGGTGACTGAACCTGAAGGTCACCGCCTCAGGACCAAGAGGAGGGAGAGCACCCGGAAGGGTGTGAAGGAAAGCCTGACGCCCCGCTGCTCCAGCCGCAGGCAGCCCCCGGCCACCGGCCGCTCCAGGAGGTCACAGCTGGGGAAGAAAGCAGGGGGTGAGGCCAAAGCCACTCATCTTCCTCCCCACACGGGCCCAGCCCCTCCGTTGTGGACTTACAGCGTCGCCTCCTGAACGGGGAGGGAGGTCTGGAGCCAGGCCTCCACCGTGCTGCCGTGCGCCTCGTACAGCCGCACCACCACCGCTCCGGGGCTGTCCTCAGCCTGCGGGGGACACAGCAGAGGGGAGGTCAGGCAAACGGCACGGGGGCATCCCACCCTACACCCCAGGGTACAGCCCCACCCCAGACACACTCTGCCTGGTGCCCAGGCATTCCTGACCTGCCCCTCTCCTCACCTGGCAGGACACAAACCAGAGGGGTTTCCCCTCAGCTGAGCTTCCCCACCACCCAGCTGCAGTGGAAAGAGCAAACCATGTGTCCTAGACTAATTTCTCTTCTAACCCCTGGCAAAACCGCATTTTTAGAAGAGTCTGGTGTCTGAATTTGTGAAGATATTTACTTTATAGCCAGCTCTGGAGTGTGGCTTTCAAGGTCTCAAGTGTTTTCCAGCTCCTCGGGTGCGGGGATGAGGAGGAGGGAGACCTGGGCACTTGACCCAAGCTGCCACCAGGGTTATTTCACACCATGAACATCACATTCAATATAAATTAGAAAGTTTGCTGAGAAATTCTCTCTCTCCCTTAATCGTGTTGGGTCCAGAGAAGTCCTTGCCTTGGAGCCCTAAGCCCTTCCCTTCCTCCCCTCACAGGGTCCCACACGGGCTGTCCCTGCTGGGAGCACATGGCTCCCTGGGATGGAACGGGCTGGGGATGGTCCTTGTCTATTTTATATTGATATCAGGATCAATAGTGGTTCTTTAGTATTATTAATGTCTTATTCTATTAAATCTGTTTATATTTCAACTCTCAGGTTTCCCTGTTCTCTCCCCAATTCCCCTTCCAGGGTGGGAAGGGTCATCGGGTGAGAGAATAATTGTCTAAACGACAATAAATTGTTGTGGGTTCCTCAAAACCAGCCCACCACGCTTAACGACGACAGCTTAACCCATCTGCCCTCCCTGCTTCTGCCCCTGGGGACTCACCTGCTTGACAGTCTCCAGCACGACGGCGGGTGAGCTGACAGAGAAGGAGCTCCAGGCTTCTGGGCACTGGGCAGAGCTGGCCGGCACCGGGTGGAGGGGGAAATTTAAGTTGTAGGCACACTGGATCACACCAGCATCCTGGAAGGAACCTGAAAGACAACTTCCAGCCAGGCTCTACACAACCACAGCCCCATGTGCTCACCCTGAGGGTCACCAGAGCATCCTCCTCCGAGTTGTCCATCCCCACAGGACCCAGCTCTGCCCATCACTCACCCCAGTGAGGCATCACGGCGTAGGTGAACTGGTGGTGACCCATGTCTGCGGTGGCATCGGGGGACTTGGGGGCCCTCAGCCTGTGGCAACAAGACCTGGGTGAGACCGGTGTCTTGGCAGCGCTCTCTGTCACCCAGCCCAGAGGAGCACTGTGACAAGACAACCACCTCCAGGCTGTGCCCTGAGGGGGGAACACACGTGCTGCTGGTTTCTGGCAAGATAGAACCCTGGATAAGCCGTCCCCAAAGCTAAAAATCAACCTCTGAAGGGTGTTTTCCCAGG